AGCCTTGAGGAGCTGCTTGCCAGCAAGGTCCTTCTCGTCGTTGGAAAGCTTGACCTCAAGCTTCTCAAGGAGAGTGGGGATCTGGTCCTTCTTGTCGTTGTTGATGGTCTGGAAGATCTTGAAGATGGGGTCCAGAACGAACATGTTGAAGGCACGCTCGACGGGCTTGCCGTTGACCTCGGGCTGGGTCTTGGTCCACTTCTTGGTGGCGGGGTTGAAGTAGTTGTCACCCTATCATGGCTGTTAGCTGCATTCAGATACTGGAAGGTTGATCGATGGTTCCATACCCAGAGACGCTCAAGCATCTTCTTGCGGTCAACACCGAACTTCTTGGCGAACTTGACGGCGAACTGGCGGACAGTGAAAGCCCAGCCGTGGAGACCGGAACCGAAGGCAACGGTACCCTTCTCGGCGTAGACCTGGACATCACCAAGGGCCTTGTCGAAGTAGGTGGCGATGATGACGTTGACGGACTCGATGGTACGAGAGAAGGACTGGTACAGGTCCTCCTTGGAGACCTGGAGTTCGAGCAGAGCACGGTCGACCTTGTTGATGATCAGGACGGGCTTGATACGCTCGGTCAGGGCCTGACGAAGGACAGTCTCGGTCTGGACACAGACACCGGAGACACAGTCGACGACGACCAGGGCACCGTCAGTGACACGCAGAGCAGCAGTGACCTCAGAGGAGAAATCAACGTGACCGGGGGAATCGATCAGGTTGATCAGGAACTCAGAGCCATCGACCTTCTGGGGGATCTCCTTGAGATCCTCCTCATCGGGGAACTTGGCGTAGAGGGAGATGGCAGTGGACTTGATGGTGATACCACGGTCCTGCTCATCGGGACGGGTGTCCATGTAACGACCCTCACCAGCCTTAGCAGCCGAGATAATACCGGCACGCTGGACCAGGGAGTCGGAAAGGGTGGACTTTCCGTGATCGACTATCGTTGCGAGTCAGCAAGATTCATTCAAGATACACCTGGCCATCCACGATGCCAAGCCTTGTAGTAAGTACATACCGTGAGCAATGACGGACATGTTACGGATGTTGGCCGGGCGGTCCATCAGGCCGCGGATCTATTTCCAGCATTAGTACACTTCCATCTTCATTGACTGATTGCTTTTCCCGATTCTGGGCCGGCGTTGCCCTCCTAGGTGTTGAGGAGCAGCCCGATGCAGGTTGATGCGGGGAATATAGAACGGACCTCTTCGATAGTGAAGCTATAAAGAACATCGTTAGCACGTTATTCTATATTCTAGAGCAAGATCCAGAGCCCTTGATCTCTCTATGCGATGGGATATCATAGCCATAGAGATTGACAGAGGGACTGCCCGGTGATGTGTGTGTGGGTGAACGTACTTAACCATCTTGACTGATTTTTCTCGTCAACTGCCGTAGAGGCGGGGTTTCGTAAAAAAAGAAAATAAAAGGAAGAACGACACACAAAGGACCAAGATCGAGAGCTAGCTCGACCGAGGGATCAAATAGGACAGGAAAGGCCTATGTGCGCTGCTCCGGGGAAAGAGACAGAGATGGCTTCGCGGAGGAAGGTGAAGGAAGGAAAAAGAGAGAAGAGGGAGGGAAGAGGGCGGATGGAGAGGAAGAGGGGAAAAGAGGGAAGGAAAGCGAGAGGGCGGCGGGTGGGGACACTTTTTTTTTGTGCTGGTGGGATTTTTTCCGATTTCAAATCTGGGATGTGCGTTTTTTCCTGTCGGGCCCCTCGTTTCCTTACCGTTTCACTGCTTAGCGTCGGTTACTTTGCTTACCCTCTATCTTTTCTTTTCAGTGCCCGACAGTCCTGGTTATCGTAATAATGATGGATCAAGGGAATCATTCATGTTAATGGTAGATAGTACGGAGTAGTAGTCCTACCGGTCATCCAGAGGTGGACGAGTATGAATGACGGCTGATCAACTACAGGGTAGTACTACGTACTCTACTACTATACTCGACCGATTTCCTCTCTAGGTTGCCCGCTCTTCCCAGCACAGACTGACCAAACTAAGGTAATGGGAGTTGACCATGGTTTATGGGCGAATTACATTTTTCTCTTGAGAGGTCATCCAATGACCAGTTACTATAGCTTAGGGAGCTCATAGCTCCTCTCTTTCCCGTACACGAGCTCTTTCTGGTATCCCTAGCCACCTTAACCTCCAACCTCCCCTCTCAACGGCAATCCCGTGTTCAGGTGGGTGGGTGGCAAGAGTGCTGAATTGTGCTGATATCATGATCCGTTGTACCAGAGAGTCTTTCCCGCCATCGTGAGTGGGTAATTAAGGTATGATGCTTACCCAATTGCGGCCTAGTCCCACCGGCCAACCTCTTCATGTTCATCATCTTGGTCAGCTTCTTTCATTGAAGATAACATCGTCAAGCGATCACGAAAAATGATTAGAAAGAGGGATAAAATAGATTTAATATTGGCAGTCACATTTCAGACTATATGGCTAATATGTATTGAATCTGAGTCAATATCTACTCTGTTGCTGCTTCCTGCAGGCTGGTATCGACCCCTCCTTCCTCACCGCCCGGCTGGTCACGGGATGGGGGGGAAAGAGAAGCGGAGTTAGGAATTAATGCATTACCGGACGTTACAACAACGTGGTTCGACCAGCTTGACAGCGGCAGGCCAATCGCCTGCCCGACTACTCCTGCACACCTGCAAATGCGGTCCGACGTGCCCTTTTGCAGTACACATATGCCTAGTCTAGGCTATCTGGTTCTATCAGTCTATCGTAAGGTAGATAATGTGGTAAAGTATTGTCTAGAGCTATTGTTGCAGCAATAATACTACTAGTAGGCTTGGTCACGTGGCTGGATCACCACATTGTCAGTACAGTGAACCTCGTCAGGCATTGTCTCTCCGGTTGTTCCACCAGATTATTCCTACAGAATGGGTTGAGTGTCCTGGATGACCTTAACATCATGCCGAGAGATTTGCCGGCATCATGAGCCGAAGCAGCTTTTTCAAAATTTCTCTGCAGCACCCATGAGAGTTACTTCGGCGGCAGCTTTTTGAGCTTGCAATGAACTCCATCTACAATTGATACCGCTGGGCATGATCTTTTCTTATATACATTAAATCATGACTTCCCTGATGAATTTGGAGCCTCGTCAAGGCCCGCGTTGGCCTAGTTGTCATGATGTTTAGTTTTGCTTCTGGGCGTTTAGCTTATAGGAGCCAAACCGCTCTTCGGATCAGTATCGTTGTCATCAGTCTATTGGATCTAATCGCCCCTCATGTTTGATCTACTACACTGGCATGGTACGCAGAGTAGGCGGATCTCAGGCGTTGGCGAGGTGGATAATGTCCATCGTGATATCTTTATCTGTTGTGGCGAGATTGATGGTTATTGTTCACGTCTGAAAACTCGAGGTTTTAACTACAAGATGAATTTCGGATTGATATCCAATCAAAATGATTATATACGGGATAATTCCTGTATATGAAGCTCCTGTCAGAAATCTATTGTGGAACGCCATCAGGTATCACACAACAAGCACATCGACCACTGAGCGTTCTTGTTCGAGCCATAGCACTGCACGATGATAGATACCCGTCCCTGAACATTTTGAGTAAAACAGGCAATCAAACTTCCGAGTCTATCCAGAAGATGACCAAGGCTGTACTGGCAGGAGGTGTGGGAAACAAAAAATCGATGATAGTCCCGCCCGCCAGTTCTGGACTCTGGTGTAATCTGTCTTAACACATTGCAATTCAATTTCGTGCGTATGAATGATATCGAGGACAAGTTGAGCTTCACAAACTGAGCCCGAGTAAATCCAGATGTATACGTCCAGGTACCATCTCATAGTGTCCGATTGGCCGTGTTGTGCTAAAGGCTCATTGCGCAGCCATAGCGCCTCTTATTTGTAGCCGATGATAAGCTGTTTTAGGACTCTGCATGTCTCTGTGGCTGAGATCTTTCGCTCTTCCATAAGTAGCGTAACAGCACTGTGCATTCGAGCCTCGCCTTTCTCGAAGGCATACAGCTCTTTTTCCCAGCTCCAATAGTCATTTGTGAATCAGTAGCTTTCTGCCCCAACATTGGGTTTTCCGGCATGACCATCCCATCCCAAGCTCCAAAGATGGGATATTTCATGCCGTAGAAATCTACAGTAGTATCATCGCCGAAGACGTCTTTTCATTCTTTTGTTGCGCCCCTTTCGACTTCATCCAGTATGGCCTATCTGTTATGGGACCTGGCTAGCAACGTTGTAAAGGAGCCAAATTTCTTCAGATTTGGCTAGGGAACTAGGGTGCAAATTGACATATTCACTTCTCACGTTGGCACGAGGACAAGGGGTGATAACAGACGGCAGCATGTGTTTAGAGAGCTTCACTTGATGAGAGAGGATAGTAAGCTTTACACAGACATATCGAAGCACACTCTCTTAATCAGAAATATTGGGATATGCCATCGCATCATTGAGAGCGAACACTTATCAGAAAGGTTCCCACTGCATAGAATCTGGGAGTGAAATCCAGTTTTCCCACTTTCCGAGATCTTTGAACAAAACCTTGTTAGGTGTTGGGGATGGATTAACCACGAGTTAAAGTTAAGACCGATGCTATTAAGTAGTATTGCATGATCGGCCAGAAAAGGATCTTTCACCGACAAATTAAACTTTCGTCAGTCGTTGAGCCATGTGCATAGATTATTGGCTAGTATATGTGATGGCTCACGCTTATACAGATCGCCAGTTATATTGTTCTCGTGCCACGTAACTACCATATTCTGTCCCATCGATGGCGGTGAAGAACAGCTGGTAGAATAATCGATCATGTTATTTCCCTTCCAGGTGCAGTTTCTAACCGTGTGTACAAGCTCAGTGTTTCAAGTGGTCGTCTAATCTTGGTTCATTTCGAACACAATTCCTGCGAGATCTGAAATGATCAATAGGGTACTCTGTAGAAAAAATCATTACCGAAAAGTTTCCTTCATCCACAGCAGACGGGGAATACAAGAGTCGTCGGAACGCAACATGACCACAAGTTATACCCTAGCCCGCAACATCCAACGGGCACCGTATACAAAGGCACTAATGCCGATAACCGACATAGTGATCTTCATGATACTCCGCCGTACACATCTTTTCCAAAATTCTTCCACGGCCGCCTGTGTTGCTCCAGAGTCATTTCTCATAGGGTATGAAGTCTTTGGCTCAGGGAGGTTCAGAAACCGACAGAGTGGCTTCCACCCATCCTGAGGTTGGAACTCCAGCAACCTCTCTGGTGGCACAACTTTGCGAACGTAATTATTATGTTCCATGAAGGCTTGCTTGGCCTTGTCGCCTGTTTCGCCGTTGCAAAAATAGAACCACAGGGCTCTATCAAATTCACAGACCTCTGCCGCCATCGTGTCCGTATACCGGAGTATCCTCCACGAAGGTCCTTCGAAAAAGCGAAAGACCGTCGCCATCATGGACTTGTGCCACCCTTCCACGTCACGAGTATTCAGGATGACTTTAGCTTCTGGATATGCGGCTATTAGTTCGTCGATGAAAAGACAGCAGGGAGTATCCAAGATTGCCTGGACCAGGCCATGGGACATGTCAGCAAATGGGTAAAACTATTAACTAGTTGCTCAATTGAGGTATCAGAGCAAACCTACGTCAAAGTCACTTGTCAACTGGTCAAACTGCTCGAGTCCAAAGCTGTGCCCTTCACCTTTGAACTTCCAGTGTAACGCCTTTGTCCACAGCGGCAGATGTCCCAGTTCCACGCGGTCCATGAAATCATAAGGCCGAAATCCGAGCTGGCATAGTGCGGCGTTAAGTGCTTCATCCATGTTTAGTGAAACTCCCATCTTCCTACGATGGGACTATAGAGTCTTACATTTCGTTCCAGTGCGCCCTAACCCCAACGCCAATACTTTCATTGGTCGTCGACGGCCCGACCCCTTGTGGTCTTCGAAGCGAGAGTCATGCTGAGAGAATTTTTCGTCTTGCATCATGGATAGATACCCTTGACAGATACGGTCCATAGGTGGCATATGTAGCCTTTTGGGCCGGCGATGGCCCAGATTTTATCAGCTGCTACATATCATTACCCACTTCACTCCATTTCCCGATTGAGGGCGTTCATCACGTATGGTATCCACCATAACTTTCGATTTCGTATATGCTTCTGACTGGTACTACCACATGTTTCGTGTTTCTGCTGCATGGCTATGTAGACTGGAGGTAATTCATCAAAGGGGTATGCCGGTATTTGTCGGTGAACATGCAATGGTAAGCAAAAGCCTATCATCTGCATGCGCTGAAGGGTTAAATGTGATGTATAACGCACAGTAGCCAAAAGGAGTAATGCGAAGCCTAGAGAGAAACCTGCATATATGGTTCACCTTGGTACATAGTTTTTTTGCTGGCGTGTAAACAGCCACAGTGTAGCCGTAGCCTTTCTCCAAAGCTCCCTGTTGGTCGCGCATCTACACCTTCTTTTAACGACATGCTGGGCTCACGTCTAGGCTAGCTTCAGAAACTCTCGAAAATACGTATATATATCAACACTTTGTCTACGGTCGAGGGTATCAGCTGCATCTTAACCCTGCCTACCATAATTGACACAATATCTCTTCAGACATCCTCAGCAATGGAGTCAGCTATTATACGATTCGCCCAGGCGAACATCGGCCACGTTCGCCTGGCTGGCTTGTTCTTTTGCGCACTCTACGTGGCGGTGCGGTTATCATGTCTGATATGTGCAACTGAGACCAATTACTGGATGTGGATGATATGGATCTTTGAAACCCTCTGGACATGTAGGTTCTCAATTCTATCGAAATTGGTCACATGGATAGTGTTTTGTCTAACAACAGTCGTACATCCTGCCGTGGCTATCTATAGACCAGTCCCTGACCATAGAACTTCCTAGACGGATTGGGCAAACGTCAAAGCGGCTTCATCTAGCCAGGAATCATGCGTTGCCTTCAGTAGACATTCTGCTGCCGTGCTGTGGTGAACCAATAGATATTATTCGCGATACCATACGCGCGGCGTGTGTCATTGATTACCCCCAATCCGCATTCCGGATTCTCGTCTTGGATGATGGAAACTCTCTCGAACTACGACAGTCGGTGGAAGAGTTGCGCCATACCTGGCCAAACCTTCTTTACTATAGCAGAGGAACTAAACCGAGCCAGAAAGTCTTTGCGAAAGCAGGAAACCTGAACATTGGCATATTTGATATCCAGGGAGCAATGGACAAGCCGCCCGAGTTTATCGCCTCGTTCGATTCGGACTTTCTGCCTGCTCCCAACTTTCTGCGAGCCACGCTTCCTCATCTGTTGGGCGATGAGAATGTTGGACTTGTAGCTGCCAGGCAAGACTACTATAACCTTCCCCCAGGGGATCCGCTTGGTCAAAGTCTGGCAATTTATTGGGAGGTATTTTTGCCCAGGATGAACGAAATGGGGACGAGTATAGCATCAACTACAGGATGTGTTATGCGCCGCGATTTAGCCGTCAAAGTGGGCGGATTCCCGACTGTAAACGAAGTGGAGGATATCACTCTATCGATGACTTTGCCAGCGTATGGGAAGCGTGTCGTAGCCCTCGACGAAATGCTGCAGCTTGGACGCGTGCCATCCTCGTTGGAAGGTCATGTCCGGCAGAACCGACGATGGATCACTGGCTTGACACAGCTGATCGCTACTCCCTGGGCACCATCCAGGCAGTCTATCCCGATTTTGTCGAGATACTACATGGCTTTGTCTGGGATTCAGTGGCTTTGGTCACCTCTGAGTCAGAGTGTCGGTTGTGCAATAATCGCTCCTGCGTTAATATCACGCCAGGCGCTTGTGCCACCCAATCTACTCCAGGTCCAGACCCCATTATCATTGGTAGCTTTCGGACTCGTTTTCCTGTACGAATGGCTCAAGGCTGCAGCAACCGGGTTTCGCTTGTCCGCATTTGCTCATCTTTATGATCTGTGGTTATGTGCAGGTAGGTCTGCCCGTCTATCAACCCGATAAAGATAGATACAACGTACTGACAACCGCCAAAGACCGACTGTATACTCTCATTCAATATCATATTCTCGGTTCACAGGCTGGTAGGTCCTTAGTGACTGGCAGTGCCGAGAACAACTGGAACAATCCCACCAAAGTTCCCACGCGAATGAGACAGTTGAAAAGGGATCTATGGGATTCCGGGGTTGGCTTCAACGTCCTTTTCGTGTTTGGTGCCCTCGTGGGGGTTTTCCATTCGGTACTGGGCGCTATCGAGAGATATTCCGATTGGCAGTTTCATACGATGACCACCTTGCTGTACCCTCCTGTTGTTCTTATGTGCTACATAAGTCTTACCTGTCACCTAGTCCCACTGTTATGCGTGATATGGCCGCCTCAGTATCCTCCTCGGAAAGCAGTCCTACAAACTCATCCGAGTGACCCCCGTGCCGTATTCCCCTCGGAGGCAGTTCGACAGTACAACGTGCGCCAGAGGCATGCGCCTCTCGGTTATCGTCGACATCTAGTATTAATTCCGGTTTATGTCACGTTCATGACCATGTTTTATTTTTTGTATCTGTGAACTCGTGGAGGAAATGTGGTTGATGTCACTATTGGGGGATAGCAAGCCTGAAGCGAGATGACCGTATATCCCGCAGAGGGCTGATAGAAATTGAATGCAAGATTAGGCTGGCCATGTGTAGTCTAAAGCCCATACAAGAGGGGAATAGGAGAGAATGGTAGATATCCCCACTCCAATTGATCCCACAAGCCCAGTGAAGACTGGGGCACATCCTGATTGGGAAACATTTTACAGTAGGACCAGTCGCTCCGGTACAGGTAAGTTATCCCCAGGCTACTGACAAATGAGGCTATATAGAGCACCGTAAGTACCCTAACATCCTAGCGGTTTCAATCGTCTTAAAGGGGTACTTTAATCTTATCTGGATTCCTTCAAGTTAAACCCAGGCGTATCGGGAAAATTTACTTAGTCATAATGACTCTTTTATAAATGGTAGGACCGAAGCTATAGTAAATTGGAAGGAGAGCAATTCTATTTTTCAATACATGGAACAAGGTGGTAGACCTTGATCTTTAGAAAATATACAGAGCCGTGTGAAATCAGGAAGATCCTAAGATCTTTGCGTACGCATCCTCCACCTCTTTGGCAATCTCCAGAAGTGTGACGATGACGATTTGATGAGTAATGTTGGGCAGCTTATCCCGTTGAAGCCCAATCCATTCCAACGGTGGTGTCGCCTCTCCCATATCGCGGAGTTGGGGGGTCTCGATCACCGGCGTTTCCAGCGCCACATACGTATACCTCGATTGCGGGACGTTGACAACCGCCGTGATCTTCTCTTGCGGCTCATTCTTGTCGCCGCTGCCTTCCGCATCAAACGCGCCAGTGATCCGGACCGCTGATGGGGGCAGCGGCTTCCCGAGTCGAGTAGCCAAGGCACGAGAATGAGTCTCCCACATATCTCGGATGAAACTGATGCGGGAGTAGTTCCAGCCAACATCTACCTTGCCCTCGAATGTACTCTGGAAGATATACTCAATCTGCTGAGAGCCCGGGACCTGCCAGGTTTGCATGCGAGCCACAAGTCGAGGCACCTTAAGAATAGTCCCTCCCCTGGATCCGGTGACCCGATTGGCGATTTCATTCACAAGCAGCTCTTCTGTATCCATAGGGCCGGACCGCACGACGTTCGAAAGCGCGACACGAAGCTGGCCTAGAGTTAGACCTAATGCGCTGTGTATTTTGTTGTCCTGCAAAGAGACATCAAACCGAGCCTGCGCATCATGCGCCTCCAGCTTGAACACGTGATTATCGAAGAATGAGCTTGGGAAAACCCCTATGCTAACAGTGTTGATACTAACAACAACTCCGGTATGCAAGGTGATTGGTGCCGTCTCGATCTTATCTTCTTCCTGTTTGGAGATTTCCCTGGACGAGACATCCGCCTTGTCCGAGAAGGTCGACGTTTTCCGGCGCAGGTAACGTTCCACATCTCGTAAAGATGCTTCGTACGCTGCCTGCTTGTCTTGCACAAGTCGCTGCCATGCCTGGTACAATGCCAGCGACTGTGATGCAGTCAGGCTTGTGCAAAAGACTTGCACTTTGTCCCCATCCAGTATGCTGAAAAGGCGCTCGCCAGGAGCGTCATCCGTCTGCCGAACATTGTACATCAAGAATGCAAAGCTGGAGATGTGAGCTATCAAGAATGGTTGATAGTCAAAAGAGACCTTGACCTGTAGCTGAAGCCAAGATATGGACGCCTGAATGAGAGGCGTCTTGTTAACCTGCTGACTATTTGGCCAATTAATGGACGTGGCTATTTTGAGACTTTGAAGTTCAACCAAACCGCTCATTCGGCCCTTGCTCTCGATCCCTAGTGTATTGAAATTGATGCAAAGAGTTTGCTCCCAGTCGGACGTCTTCTTCGAGGACAGCCATAAGTCATTGATGCCGAATTGCGCTTTTCCTAGCGTAGACCCCAAGTCAAGTTGTATTTCCAACTTCTCGATCGAAATCGTGGTATTCCATGGGAAAGCGGGGGTTGCTGCGACTTGTTGATATCGCTGCACGATATATGCCTGCGTCTCCGTGGGCTGTGGCTCGGGTGGAGGGGCAGTATCTACCTCTTCACTTGAAGGAACCCAAATTTCACGGAAAAGCAGAAGATCTTGAACCTGCTTCGCATTGAGCGCAACTTCCATCGGACTCACTCTCAGAACGACCGAGATCCCTTTCGACCTTCCTAGGTGTTTGCTGTTCATGAGAGACATGACCATAGACTCAACCTCAAAGCTCGCGGTTGACTCATTTGAGTACACATGTTTCACTGATGCTTGCAAAGAGTTGAAAGCCACCAGGAGTGCTAGGAACCGCTCTTGATCATCTGACTGGACGGTATTGATCGTCACATAGACACTGTCAAACCGCGTCGTAGCTGCTACTCTAGCTATGGGTTGGCAGCTTAAACTGAACTCCTGTTTGCAAATCAAGATGCCTACGTTCACCTTGCACCGTCCTAGAATTGAACCCGGACCTTTGTCATCAAGAGGGGCTTCCTGCATCAACTTTTGCGATTGCAACATCATGGCATTAGACGGCCTCCTGGACTTTGGTTGGTCGCCCATGGCTTCCTTTATAGTAGCGGTCATCTGCTTGATCAGGGGAACGAGACTGGGATAGAGGACATTTGTAGAAGCATCGACCTTCAGTTCCGCGTTCAGAGCAGAGTCATCTCGCCCGTTATCTTCAAATTGGACTTTCAGGGCCACTCCTGGAGCCCTGAACGTTGCAGTGGCTGTTCCATCTCCTTTAATATAGTGGCCATAAGTAGACCCTGGAAGCCTGCCATCCTTCAAAGGTGGCGCTAGCATTGCCTGTGTATCATCTGCGTGCCGCCCTCGTAGAGACATAACGGCACCGGCGAAATCAACGTCTATTAGAACGGAGCGGAAGCGCTTATTTCCAAAAAGTGGCCGGTGTTTTGTGCTATCATCAGATGGCTTTGTCACCAGAGTGGCGTTGGCCTCCCGAATAGTTCGTGCAGCAGAAGCAAGAGAGTTCCGGATCACGCTCGCTGGCAAAATGAAATCAGAAGTAGCACGTATGTCTAAAGATTTCCCTGCAGCTTGGAAGGCTAGTCGAACCTCCTTTCCGGCTGAGGAGTATGCCACATTGAAAACCAATTCTGGCAATAGAGCAGAATTGAGCGATCGTTTTCGTCTATTACCAGAAACTGGCACCATCTGCAACTGTACATCCTCAATTCGAAGCTTGGCGGCATTTGCTTTCTTGTTGGACAACTCCACACGTTTGATGGAGAACACCAGATCATCAGGTCTACGTCCAGATGCCATCGGCGGTACACCTGCCATGTTCCATCCAATCTGAATATCGTTGAAGTCAAGGGAGTACATGGAGTCGAACAGTCCTTCGGAGGAGGCGCTATCCGCAACGTTGATGCTGGGAATCTCCTGTTCCTTGCTTTCCGTGTGGCCGCGGTGTCGCAGTCTTTTGAATCGCTTCACCTCCTGAGAAAGATCTAACGTTTTTATGCGTTCCTGCAAGTGGGCGGCCATATCCACCACTAACGCGGCGGTCTCTGGGAAAAGCTCGACATCGCATCCTTTGCTGGTCAAGTGGAACAATCGTCTAGTTTCCCCACTCTCTCTGGTCGTCGAGGTACCCTGAAGCTTAGCGTCAATTGCAAAAGTACAGTATGAGCGGCTCCGATGCGCGTCCTCCTTCCTCAAATCAAAGCTTATGTTCGATGTATCGATATGAAATTCCGGGTATTCCAAGGCATGTCCTGCCTTGAGGCCGTTGTCTAGGTGAAGGCGCACCATACCGAGGCTAATATCCATGTCAGCGGTATAGCTCTTGCCGTTCAACCCTGGCGCCCTGGCATGAATGGTTGTTCCCGCCATCGTCATGCGTGCTTTGTACAGAATGCTGTGACTCTTAGACACGTTCTTCTGCTGTGGAGGAGGTCTCTTCTGGGCGATGTTCTCATTGAAATGTAGCCGCAAGACTTCGAGACTTTGCTTCAGATCGTCAAGCAAATGCGAGATTTCTGGCTTGGATAGGGCACCCAGAAGGCTTCGCACAGCGCTGGCCTCTACTCTTATCAATTCAATAGTGACATCCACTTCCACATCAGTGCGAGTCGAGGAGACGTCAGCAATGACTCGACCATTAATAGGAGGTATCTCCAATGTCGAAAGGGAACGCCACTTGCCGCCTTCGCTTGATAAAAGCGTATGTGCGTTCTTCTTCACGTCAAAGTCTACTTCGATTTTCGATTCCAGTTTCGGTGTGATTGAAGTTCGTGCCACTTCTCCAGCGATGACATATGTCAGCGATGGAAGCACACAAAAGCTCAGTCGGTAATCGTCCAGGAACATGGCAACGTGGAAGTTATTGCGCACTTGCTTCTTCGAAGGATTTTTGTCAAGCGGCTCATGTGATGGTAATTCCACACTATTCACAAGTTGTTGTATGAAACGAATTTCATCCTCTATCAACCGATCAGCAGTATGTGCAAGGCCCAGCACATCTTCCCTCATGTCATAGCGGAGCTTCCTGCAAGAACCAGCAATCTTCCATTCGTGATTCAACTCTACCTCGTTTTCTTCAGTTGAAAGAGAACAGTACATATGAGGATTACTAACTTTCCAGAGCATGAGAGCTTTGGAGGCGCTAGAGAGTTCAGAGAAGCAAGCTTCGGAGCTTAACAACAAGCTCATAATTTCCGGGGTTTCTGCGCTGTGAGGTTTCTGCACAAGCGAGCTCCTGAGAGCTTTACCGGTCAACGCTAGCTTTATATTGATGCCATCAAGGATGACTGACCCCAGGTCAGCTCCAAAGACAACCTGAATTTCGGTGAGCTTTTCTGGGCCGCTGCCACGACTCTGGGGCGGAGGGGTAGATTCCAGTGTGACTGTAGACATTGTCTTCAGAACTCCTTCCACCAGATCTAGGATCTCCCATCGTAAATGGAGGCCAACGGAAGAGCAATATGACTGTATGACTACTGCCTCCTTGAGCCGGCGCTCTTGGTCTGT